GCCGACTTTTGCAGTAACATTTTGCTAGCGTGCTGTTGCCGGGGTTGCCGTTTTGGGTTTGGTTCAGGGCACCCTAACCCTTTGAGACCCCGCAGTAGGTTTGATTCCCAGTTGCCAAGCGAGCGCCTTGCATCCCTAACCCGTAGGGCTCCATTCCCACGTCCCCGAGCTGCTTGAGTTGAAGTCGTGCTTTCCGCGCCGCGGTTCGCCAGGTAGGACTGAGAACATGCATCATGAACATAGTTGCTAAGCAACAGTCCAGCAGTGCAAAGGCGGCACCGCCAACAAGCAGCACGTAGCAGCCTTCGCAAGTTGGAGACAGCACGCACGTAGCAGCGCTGTAGTGGCTGGGTGAGAAGGCTGGGAGGGGACTGGCGGGAGCCTCAGATCGCGGGTAGAAAGGTGTTGGAGTACTGGTAGGATGGTAGGGTCTCAAGTCGTCCTGGGAGCGTTGCGAGCGTGCTGCAGGTGTGCTTGTAGGACTTTGTTGCTTAGGCTCATAAAACGCCTGCCCCGCTACCCCAGGTCCACATCTTCATCCGCAGAGCCGCTTCCCTCAGAGTGCCGGTCGGTTGCCGTAGATCGCTGTAGGAGTGCTGGCAATCGGTAGGAGCGCCGGTAGGATGCGTAGTGGTAGGAGCTTTGTTGTCGTAGGAGTGTGGGTAGGTTTGTGCTTGGAGCGCTGGCTGGACTCCGGTAGGTAGGAGTGCTGGTAGGTTTGCTTCTGCTCGCGAGTGCGTCCCCTCTAGCACTGCCTAGGTCCCAAGCTTAGTCCTGCCGCGCGCTGATGCTCAGAGGGGTTTTGGGTTTTGTTCGGACGGGTTTTAGTGAGTTTGAGCGCAGGTAGGCAGGAGTGCGTGTTGCCGGTAGTCGTTGGACGTTGCGCCTACCGCCCGTAGCCCCGTAGTACCCCGTCGCCTCCGTAGCAGCCCGTAGTCCCGTAGCTCGTAGTCGCGTCCGTAGCGCCCTCGTGCTTCCCAGGCCGAACCTTTCGCAGGGCGCTGAGGCTCAGAAAGGGTTTCGGGTTTTTTCGGATGTTAGGGCTTGGGTTTCCTTAGTCGGCGAGGGTCTGAGCGCGGCCCTGAAACTCAGAGTGATGCGATTTCGGAGTTGCCCTTTTTGGTTTGTGCGGGGTTCGGGGTAGGGTCGTAGGTCGTCGCCGGAGTGCTAGGAGTGTGTCGTAGGCTTGTAGGACTGTTGTTGTCGCTTTGGACACCTGCTCAGGTCCAGACCACCCGCGGAGCGACTTCCCTCAGAGTGCTTGCCAGGGTTTTTCTTTCTCTAGTTCCGAAGGGGTTCTTTCGGCTTTTGCGGGGTCTTGTTCGCGCAGAGGGCGGTCTGCCTGCGGTTTCAAGACTGTTGCTGAGACGCAGTGAGCCGTAGTGACCCCATAGTGACCCGTAGTGACCCGTAGTGACCCGTAGTGACCCCGTAGTGACCGTAGTGACCCGTAGTGACCCGTAGTGACCTGCTGTAGTGACCTCCTCCTACCCTGGCTCAGGTTACAACGTCTTTTCGAGCAGACTCCAGCCTTTGTGTCGCGATGCTCAGCTGTAGGTTCTTTCAGACTTGGCTGTGCTTTTTCAGGATTGGAAGGCTTTTGGAATGTTGCGTACCGCATCTTTGAGCATGTTTGTGAGCGTTGCGCAGTAACCAAAGCGTTCATGCAATCCTGCTCCTCTTCGCCGCTTAGGTTGCTACATCTTTTTCAACCGCGAAACCGCAGTACTGCGGCGTCCTTGAGTGCAGCCGTGGTGTTTTTGGTCTGCCAGTGGGACTTTTGTGAGCGCTGCATCTTGCCTTGGAAGAGGGTTAAGACTCGTAGTGACCGCCGTCGTTACCCGTAGTGACCCATAGTGACCTCTACCGCGAGCTGTGTAGACTCCTACCCTTGCTCGGGTTACGACATCTTTTCGAGCTGTTAGGTCTGTAGGCTAGGGCTGGGTTGGTGCCGCGTGATCGTGCTTGCAACACGTGCAGTTTCTCGATAGCTCAAGATTTTTATCACGCGTCAAAGTGTCGGTATAGGTTCAGTAGTGAGACTGTTGCAGCCATGCTAAGGGCTTGCTGCACCACGTGCTGATCTTCCTGCACGGTCTCAGACCTTTCCGCTGCGACCACCACGAGGAAGAATGGTGGCTGGCAGAGTGGGATGAACAGTGCAAAAGCGAGGAATGGTGGCGGGCAAAGCGTAAACGCGAGGAGATAGCAAGGCGCGTGGCAGAGCGCATGATCAGCTATCCATGTTGTGATCACGTTTTTTTCCGGAACGCTGAAACGCTGCTTTTCGCACTTTACACTTGCAGAGAGTGGAGCATTGTTCTGCAGAGTTACAAAGTCCAAGTCGTGCAAATGAACAGCTCAATCCACAAAGAGTTTGTCCTTCGCTGCAAAATTGAAGGTCAACAAGGTCTTCGGTACACTAACACCATGCTCACACACATTGAGCATTGTCTAGAACTCAGGAGCTGTCGAGAAATGTGACTCTTCTGGCTGAAATTCGCTAAATTCGCCGGCTTTTTCGATGCTGCCTATCATCCCTACGTGATGAGGGAAGAGTGTACCGATATGGAAGAATGTGAGCACGTGCTGGAGAGCACGTGCGAGGAGATCTTGACACCATGAGGAATGTATAGAAAGTTTTGTTGAGCGCTGCGGCTGCGCTTCAAAGAACAGGGCATGTGGCGCCACGCTAGTTCAAGCCGGCAGCTACTCCTACAGGCGAGAACGCTGCTTTTCCAGCTTGAATTACCCTTCTGTTCCAATCCGACCTGACAAAACGTCGTCTTTGCCGCGCAGTCGTGTAGGGTTTGTTTGCGTAAGGAGCTCTTTTCTGCCAGCTCTTAGATTTCGTGCTCGAGCCTGTAAGGTTTCGACTCGTCATCATCGCGAAGATCTTCAGCAGGACCCTCGGCGTCCCGTGTGAGTTTCTGCAGTCTTCGGGCCGTCACAGGCTTTGACCTGTCGTGTCTGAGCAGTCATTGAATTCTCCCTAGTCGCGCACGTCGTAGTGACCCTCTTCATTGCTCGTAGTGACCTGTAGTGACCCTCGTCGCTGCCCGTAGTGACTCCTATTGTCTTCGAGGCTCGTCCTCTCTGCGACCTTCGCGAGCCGCGGACTCTGTGCGAAGGGAGTGAAATAGGAGCATTGTGAAGTGCGTCTTGGAGTACTGCGATGGTGCTTGAAGCTCGTTTGTAAGCTCGAAAGCATTTTGCTTGTAGAACTCTCGTCGCCGCGATGATGCCTCTGACTCCGCTGAAAAAGACTCTGTCTGATCTGAACAAACAGATCGAGACTAAGGCCTCAATGCGCGGAGTCCCATTGATGCCTGAAAAACTCGACGAACTCGTGCAGAGGAGGGACACTTTGCTGGCGATTCAGGAGTCTGAGCGTCAGCAGAGAATCTTCCAAAGCGAGGAAGCAGATCGCATCATCGCCACCGTCAGAGAGGAAACTGCCTCCGGTGGCGACAAGACTTGCAACGCCGTGGCGGCGGGTACCGAAAAGACTTGTAGCGCCGTGGCGGAGGCCAAAGACGAGATCGTTGGGACAATGAGCAAGGGGTTCGCAATGCTCAGGGAACTCTTCACCGCTCGGAAGCCTCGCACGTCGAGCAGCTCGAAGATGACTGATGAAGAGAAGCAGAAAGTCCTGCTGGATAAGCAAGAAGCGGCGAAGAAGCGCAAGGTTGATGCCGATGAGCGCAAAGCCAAGAAGGCGGAGGAGAAGAAGCAGAAAGAAGCGGACCGCAAAGCCAAGAAGGAAGAAGCGGATCGCTTGAAGCAGGCGAAGGCCAAAGCCGCGCAAGACCTCAAGGACTTCTTCGCGAAGCAGCGCCCCGCTAAGAAGGCTAAGACCGGCGAGCAGGGGACGGGCGAGCCGAGAGTCGAGACCGAGGCCGTGGAGAGTCGCGAGCCGCTGAGCGTTGAGCTCAACGACCAGAACCCCGCGAACTCCGCGCAACCCTCCGAGGACGTCGCAGAGCCTCCCGCCGAGGTCAAGGAGAGCGGCGAGCAGGACATCGCGAACGCCGAGAATCCCCCCGCGGTCGAGGAAGCATCTGAGGGCGGTGACGCGCTGAGCGGGAGGGCTCGGCTGTTCAATTTCGTGGGCCTCTCTTCGAAATCCTGAAGAGTTCTTTTAGTTTTAGGAGCTGGATGGGCATGGAGCCTTTCGAACTCCTCTGCTGCAGTAGCGCTTGGCTTTTGCAGGTGCTTGATTCAGCTCTGGTAGGTGCATGATTCAGCTTTGGTACAGGAGCTTTGGTACAGGTCTACCGCTGGAATGTCTGAAGACGCCAGCGGGAATGCTCTTCGCCAGCGGGAATGCTCTTCGCCGCGAGGCGTGCATGATTCAGCTTAGGCACAGGTTTGCCGCTCGAATGTCTGAAGACGAGAGCGGTCTTCGCCGCGAGGCGCACAGATCTTAGCTATCGCCGATAGCAACTCTTAGCCGTCGAAGGCAAAATATGAGTGCAGCAAATGTGTCGCTCTCGTGCCGCATGTACGCTATGAATAGTTCCTGCACGCGGGACTGTCCAGGTCTCAGATGTTCGACGACAGGTCATTGAAAGCTCTTACCTCGGCATCCTTTTGAGTCTTACCGTTCCTGCAGCAGAGCTTGCCGATCGACCGCGTTACTCTGGCCGTGCTTTGCAACCTTGAGCGCTGATGGTGAGGGTATTTTTTGGCACGTTTCCAATCAGGTTTCGATCGCCTTCTTCATCATCTTCGACGTCCTGGCCTTACTCGGCCTTGCACTGCTTCAGACCACTTCGTGCAGCTCTGCGCTAACTTGCATCGGCGGGATTTGTAGCTTGTGTAAAGTTTATGTCGTTCATTTGCTGATAGGAGTGCTTCACTTCGCTTCGCAGTTCATTCTGGTTTCCGGAGCCGCTGGTTTGTAGGTACCGCGCCGTTCTTAGCATGCTATATGCTCCGAGATGAGATCATACAGGTGCTCCAGATCGTGGTTGTCTTCCTAGGTAACAACCGCGTGGATGACGTTGAAGCCTTTGCAGGCGAATTTTGCATGGTGCGCAGACTCTCTCTCTGCTCTGCTGGTTCTCACGTGGCTATGCACTCAGCGTGTCAAGCTATGCAGCGAAGGCTTGTCGAGCTGCACGAGTCTTACATGTTGTCCCATCGACGGCGCTTCATAGCTCTGTACAGACGGCTAAACCGCTGGACATGGACAATGACTGAAGAGCTGGCCGTCGCAGAGGCTGATGACGATTTTGAGGCTTTATTAGAGTTAGTACAGATTCAAGATGATCCTCTCACAAGGCGCGCACTACGCTCGCGCGTGCGGCAAGAGTGTTTGGCTATGCAAGCGAGTGTAGAAAGTTTAAATATCTTCAGGAGCAGAGGAGGTTGAGGTTGGGAGTGATGTAGCTTCTTTACCACTTTACCGGCCTCCGTTCGATGCTTTACGCTTCGGGCGCTACGGGCACAGATCGTAGCTATCGCCGATAGCAACTCTGTCGTGGAAGGCAAAATGTGTGCTGCAAATGTGTCGCTCTCGCACTGCTTTCGTGATTTGAATAGTTCCTTCACCTGCGCGGTCCCAGGTCTCTGATGCTCGACGATGGGTCAAAGGCTTGAAAGCTCTTGCCTCTGCGTGCTTTGAGTCTTGCCGTCGTTACATGAGTGATGCGCAGCTTTCGGGATGAGCAGGGATGGTCATGCGAGGTTGAGAAGCGTAAGCTTTTCACAGAGTTTTCATCACCGCTTGCATGCACGAGTGAATAAGTCTATGGCCTTCTAAAAATATTCCAGTTCACATGATGGGCGGTGCCGCGAGCTTACCCTTTGGGCGTCCTGGACGGGCGGACCGAGCAGTGCCCGTTGGAGCTCCCAGAGATGTCGCAGCTGCTCCTGCTGGCGTTCCTCTGTTTCGCAATCTGATCAACAGTCGGCAGGGCTTCAGCAGGGTGGTGGTCGTGGAGTCTCCCCGCTTCGACGGCTTCTACTTGAACGTCGAGTCTCTGCAGCGCGTGCAGCCTCACATCCAGCACATGTTGACTCAGCAGCTCCGCTTCTTGGTCAAGGTCGTGGCCCAAGTGCGTTTGGCTGAAACGGTGAGGGACGAGGCGGGCGAGGAGCGGGAAGTGTACTCAGAAGTGTGGGTGCCGCTTGGTCCTTGGCCGGTGCCGCCTCTAGCCAATGCCGACGAGAGATTTAGGCGCTACGTGCTGCGCGAGACCGAGAGTCGGCTCACCTTCGCCCTGCAGGAATCGCTCTACCTCGAGAGCAGCCGCAAGCGAGTTGTGGGAGTGTTGACTTTGAAGCTTCTAGCGGGGCCAGCGGCGCTGACGAGCAACATCCCTGCGCCTGCAGGTTTGCCCGCGGCGGGCGGGTGCTACAAAGATCTCCCTGAGTATCTGCGTAGCGGAAAGCAGGGTATTTGGACTCCGAAGAATCAGGACCATGCTTGCTTCGAGCTCTGCATTCGCGCGCATGTCGCCGATGTGGCCAGCTGGAGTCCTGCTGAGCGTAAGGAGGCTGCAAAGGCGCGTGCAGCTCCTTTCTACGACGAGCCCGCTCCGCGCGGACCTGGCGCCGCTCTGAGGGACGAGCGCAGGATGGTCGATGTTGGCTTGGATTTCTCCATGCTCCCTCGCGGCCCCGTCTCCTTTCAGGACATTGACTGCTTCGAAGAGAAGAATGTTGGCATGGTGGGCGTCTTTGTCTACGAGCCTTTGTCAGAGGAGTGGGCTGCTTCGGCTACGACCACACTGCGTCCGCTGCGGGAGCCTTCTGTGGAGAAGCCCTACCTGCACGAGATCGTTTTGCTCCTGTATCGCCAGCACTTCAGCTTGATTTACGACTTCAGCAAGGCCTCGAGCAGGAGGAGTCTGAGCTTGCCGCCCGAGCTGCAAAGCCAAACGCGCTGCTACAACACATGCCCGCGCTGCCAGCAGAACATGAAGACAGAGCTCGCTCTCAGGCTTCATTTGCGAAGAGGCTTGTGCAATGCCTCCCCGGAGCAGAGGGCTGCGATGCCAAACCTTCGTCTCCCGCAGAACGCCGAGGAGGCTAAGCTTCACTACAAACCGGGACCTTCAGCGGAGTGGGCTGAGCTGGTGGTGAGCGCCGACATCGAGGTGTTCCACGATGCGGCATTGAATGACGGGGGCAGAACTGCAGCGAAGCAGCACGAGGTGGCTTCGACTTGCTACCTCGCCAAGGGGCGCTGCGGCTACAAGCCGCCTGAGAGGCATCTCGTGCATTTGGATCGTTGCCGGATGCAGGACGGTCCTTTCGGGGTCATGACGCGCTTCTTCCGCAACCTGCTAGACTTGGCCTTTGACTTTCTCCGCTGGTGCAAGGTGGAGAACAAGGAGCCGTTCTTCAAGCCTGGTGAGCGGGAGGCCTTCGAGGCTGCTGANNAGGCCTGCGGAGAGCGCTTCGATTCCACTGTCGGCAAGGTACTTCATCATCGGCACGGCACTGGCGAATATCTGGCTCCTCTTTGTTTAGGGTGCAATGCCGCGATCAGGCGGAGGAAGCTGATTCCGATCTACTTTCAAAACGGAGGTGGCTATGACTTTCATTTCTTGGTGAGGACCATAGCCCACCTGACCCAAGTTCAAGCGACTCAGGCGGGCGAGGGGGATGGAAGCGGCGACGACTTGCCGGATGACGAGGAGCCAGAGAACGTGCTCGATGAAAGCGAGGCGGAGCTCGAGTACGTGGACTTCCGCCGCTTGAAATTCGAGGTGCTCGTGAAGTTTTTTTTTTTTTTTTCTTCACCGGACT